GACAAAGTGGTCTCTGGACATGCCTTTACTCGTCCACCTTACTCTTGGGGGTTGTCTTTTGAGTGCTTAAGTGGTAGAGAAACTGTCCATAACATAACTGTCCATAACATAACATAACATAACATAACTGTCCATAACGCCTCAGCCTCCCTAGTACTGGGATTGCAGGTGTGTGCCACTATGCCCACAGGCTACTTTTCTTTCTTTTGAATAAACTGACTTTAATGACCACTTCAGTAATTATATTAGTGATTACAAATACTTTTTTGGGAATGATTGTTTTCTTTTAAGTTCTAATTTGTGAAGATGGCAGATGTCTTATTTTCTCGTTGCTAGGACAACATACCAGCCATCCAGAATTTCAAGGAAGAGAGGGATATTTTGACTCACGTTTTCAGTCTGTGGTTGCAGAGGCATAGCAGAGGAGAGAAGGGGAGGCCAGGAAGGAAGATACACATACACTTCCCCTCTTCTTCTCAGACCCCCGGCCCCGGCCCCAGCCCCAGCGCTTTCCGCTAGGGCTGAATCTCTCTCCCCGCACGATCCAGTCACCTTCCAACAGCCCACCTTTGGACACGGAGGCTTCTGCAGGACATTCCGGATTTCAGCCATAATAGCGAATATGTAGTGTCTCAAGAAATTTAGGGTTCTGTTTTTGTTAAAACAACAGAAAAAGAACTTTTAGTGTTTTAAAATACACATTAGAATATTGTTACATTGAGTCTACTATGCAGTAGAACACCGGCACTCATATCTCCTATGATTTAGCATCCATTCATCGACCTTTCCTCATCCTCCCTTCCCCCTGCTCTCTCCTTTGTAGCATGTCTTACCTGGGTTATTTGGTATGTGATCTAATTAAAACGAAATTCAAAGTCGGTCTAGAACTAATGATTTAGGTCTTGCCAACTGTCTATTCTTCCCAGAATGCACTTTCAAATTACGACTGAACAGACATGTTTATGTTTGAGCTTTCTTTGACGGTGTTTTAGTGTTCGTATGTTGTAGATACTAAGCAATGAGTGATGAATTATAAGGTCAGGTGGAAGAGAGAGGATCTTTCATTGGGAGACCATTCCAATGACAAAGCTTAAAGGGATTTTCATGATCACGTTGGAACTCTGACGTGTTATCTTTTGCATTCCTTTTGGGGCTACTACTGAACTCAAAAATTAAAACCTGTGCATGAATCATGTCTGTGAGGTGCCATGAAGCTGTTTTTACTTTTAAACCCGTGAGTTAGAATGACTAAGAGCAGATACTGTACATTTTTAAATAACCTTTAAGGATTCTTTTTATTACTTGCAATGACACATAGTGCCATAGGCTCTTTTATAAGCCATGTAGAATTTCCATTGTGTTACTTAACCCCAACTTCAGATTTACCTGTGTCATGAGTGAGTTAAGAACAGTACTGATGTGTACTGCTTCAAGACAGGTCCAGTGCGAGTACCAGGAAAATACGTATGTGTGGTTCTGAGAAAGAGCTATGGGGAAACCTGTTTCGTGATGCTGAAGTGAAGGTAGCCTTGCTTGATGGTTTTATGTCGTTCTAGTTGAGTCACAGTGGTCAGTCTGGTACGTGTAAGAAGTTCATAATGAAGCGCAGCCCTTTACTGTGGTGAATGACCACTTTGATGCAAAGTCACTGTTAAACACAGTTTTTGGGGCATGTTGTAAAAGTTAAGCCTTTTCAGAGGGTCAGTAGTGGTAGCAGTTCATGTATTGTGTACCATTTTGCCATTTGTAGGCCTCCCTGTGATTTTTATTTTGAAATTGTCAAAAACTTCAGCCTCACACAGATTTTTCTTCTATCAGTTTGATGAACATAATCAAGTCCCTTGATCAGGGATTTCCAGTGCCTTATAATACCTGATTATGAAACACTTGCTAAACAAAAAGTAAAACTTGAAAAACAAAAAATAAAACTATGCTGTACTTTGACAGGTACAAATGTTACAAAACATTGTTAGTAAACACAGAGTATGTATTTATTTATCAAAGCCAGTTCATTGGGGTGTCAAGTATGTGAACTGAGGTCTAAGTAGGTAGCAGTTGTGGAGTGGGGTTCTCAGGAAGTAGAAAGTCTACTACATAAACCATGATTAGGTTGCTGCTGTATCTTCACTACTGTTTTGTAAATTGGCTTTATTTTTATTCCTGACTTAAAGTTTCTTCTTTTTTTTAGAAGTAAGACATTTTGGTAGTATTGTTTATTGACAGGCACTAAGGCTGTTTAATTCAGCAGGAGGGCACTTTAAATATTTGTAACTAATTTAAAAATGTGCTTTTAAATACTGCAGAACACTGACCGTCACATTTCAGCTTTTCACTTTACTTTTGACATTGTAATGTGACAGGTTGTGTAATAGTGTATGTATGTGTTGCATTCTTCTTACTGGTATTTGTAATTTAAAACAAAACTGTTTTCTCTTTCAGTGCATTTGAAGCGCCACTTTATGTTTCGAAACCATCTCTGTTTAGTTTTTGAAATGCTGTCCTACAACCTCTATGACTTGTTGAGGAACACCAATTTCCGAGGGGTTTCTTTGAACCTGACACGGAAGTTTGCACAGCAGATGTGCACTGCACTGCTTTTCCTTGCAACTCCAGAACTTAGTATCATTCACTGTGACCTAAAACCTGAGAATATCCTTCTTTGCAACCCCAAACGCAGTGCAATCAAGATCGTTGACTTCGGCAGTTCTTGTCAGTTAGGGCAGCGGGTAAGTATGTTTCAGGAATTGTGGGTGAAAACAGAGTTAGATAAGTATAAGTAGATATTTGAAATGTTATTAATAATGTGTGTAAGGTTTGGAGGTAATTACAGGATGGTTATTTATTTCTAAAATGTGCATCACGTGGATCACCTTATCCTGCTGTCTGTTTAAAACACGAAAGCAGTATTTTGAATTAGAAGATACTTCAAAGTGGATATATTTAAGTTCATATGCATGCTAAAACGAGAGAATAAGAGATAAAAGAATTATATATCAAGTGATTTGTAAGTGTATTTCCCAGATAGAGGCTTTCATATAAAGTTTTGGAAATCATAGTACTGGAGCATGAATCTTGGCTGTAAAATATTTTCTACATCATACTGAGATGAATGTTTTTCCTGAAAAACTTGGGGCTCAGAATCCGTGCATTGATTCGTGCATGAGTCATGGTGTTGCCAGGTAGATAACACAGAGCTGATGGGCACACTTGTTTGACAAATAAGTTTAGGTCTTGCCCTCCCTCTCACAAATTAGAATTTGTTCAAGTCCTGACATATGTCCAAAATGGCTTTCCTCACACTATTAAAAACAGACATGCTCATGGTGATAAAAGTTTAGTTGATTGAGGAAAGCAGTTTTTTCTTGCCATTCCATCTAGCATTATGAAATACTCTGTATAAAATGGAAGTTACGGATGGTTCTCCTCTTCAAAGGAATTAGGATATTACTCATTTTATACACACTATTCTATTTATGTCAAAGTATTGAAACTTTTTTTTTAAGAATTCTTAACATTCATATTACCATTTCATGTTGGCTTTTCCATTGTTTTCTAAACTTCCTGTCCAGTCCAACTTTTGTCCAGGTTTTAAGTAAAGCTGCTTAGTTTGCTTGTGAAAGTTGATAGCCAGTTAATAGGATTGCCTTTTTGCGATGTTTTGCAAAGTATTTTATAGTAGGGAAGCTATAGATTATTGAAAAAAAAATTTTTAAGTTGGAGTACGCAGGAAAGTTTGCGGTTTCAGATGTCTCTGAAAAATCAAGGGATGTTCAATAGTTAATACAGGATGTAGTATATTATGAATGAAAATGCATACCTACCTTGAGTATAATTTCAGTTGATTTTATATTTTGAAAGTTTTTTCCCTGTTTAAACCAAATTATGTTCTGTCCTAATACTAAATACTGTTATGTCTGTCCAGCCAAACTGAAGTGACTCTCCCTTTAGCTAGTAAGTTTTTAACTGTTCACATGCATTGGTATCCCATGGGAGGTCATTTCCACAATACACGTCCAGTTGGATCGGAACCAGAAGATGGCAGGGCAAGTATATTTCAGGGCAGAGTTCCTTTGGGGATTTTGGAGCACAACCTTGTAGATAGCAAAGCCATTACTGCTTTAACCAGATGGCATAGGTAGGTGACAGTTTCCTTGTTTAAGCTGTGAACTGATACATTCTGTTTAGTAGGAGGTCTTTTGGGCTTAGGGCATCAAAAATGTTACTGACTTATAAAAATTTAGAAATGTGTACAGGTGAGCATGGGCTAACTAGAGTGCTTGAGACCAGAAGTGTTTTAGACTCCAGAGTTTTGTTTGTTTGTTTGCTCTTTGACTATGGAACATCTGCACAGACTTTGCTGCTTGAGTAACCCTAATCCAAAAATCTAAAAATCTGAAATCCTCCAAAATCTCAAAATTTCTTTTTTTTAATCCAAAACTTTTTAAGTGCCGTGTTTTAGATTTTGGAGCATCGTGTACGTGGGGTTTTTGGATTGGGGTGTTCAGCTGATACTTTTTCCCAGTTCTTTTGAGTTAAGCTTTCTCCTCATAATGCCATAAGGTTGGGTTCACCTGACTGTGGAGGTCTAACATTGTTCTGAAAGACTGGACTAGGGATTTCAGTGGAAATCATAGATTTAATGAGCTTCTGCCTGTTTTGGGTGTTAAGTTAGAAATTTTAGTTAGCAGCATTCTCATGCTCTCTTTTAATAAAAGTTCATGTAAATATTCCTGGATACAAATTTATAGTGATTATGTGAATTAAGGATCAAACTCATGACCTTGCGCTTGCCAGTCAGGCACTGTGCCACTAAGCTAAATCCCCAGCCCTCCAACTTGACCTGTATATTACCATGTTTGTAGGATTTTCTTCTGTGACAGTAGAATACAAATGTCTGAATTTTAAGTTTCATGTGCTTTCATTATTTGACTTTTAATGCTGAAAATAAATTCTTTCAGGTTAATTCAAATATATGGTAATGGTAAACCAATTCCCATACCATAGTAGGAATGAAGAAAGTCACTCTCAATAATTTTTTTCTACTAAAACATAATTGTTTTAAGATCTATCTTGATTACCATAAGGATTGGACTACATGAAAAGGCCTGGAGTTTTACATATAAGCTGTGATAGAATGAATGTTTAGATTTAAGAATTTATTACAGTAAAAGGCACACTGTCATGAATGCCTCTCACAGTATTTCTCATTGCTTTTAACATACTTTTCCCATGATTCTTGCCACTTTGGAAGCAGTTCTGGGAGTCCTCTTCCATGTCTGAGATATGATCAAAATATGGTGAATGCTGCCTCTGAGTGCTGTCCACCAGGAAGGGAGGCTTGTAAAAATGTGACACCTGATTCACTGGATCTGGCACTGTGCAACTTCTGGCACTTAAAATGACCTTGGAAGGTCAATATTTTTTTTGTTCATTTGTTTTTTTTTTCCGGTACCAGGAATCGAACTCGCGACTTTGTACTTGCCAGGCAGGCGCTGTGCCGCTGAGCTAAATCCCCAGCCCCGGAAGGTCAATATTTTGAATCAGTTTCTGAGGTGGGCATAACAACACAACTAAAGACACTCATGAAAGGACTGTACAACTGCTTCCGAAAGTGGCAGGAGCGGTAGAGTAATGCGTTGGAAGAGAGGGGGAAGTGTTTGAGAAGCAGTACTGACAGTGTGTCTTTCGCTCTGTTTTTATGTAACAGTACTTTTGCATCACACCTTGTGTTTCTGTATTCCACGTTCGTGTCACCCAACCACTGGGATATTCAGTTTTGTAACTGTTATTTGTAGTCAAGTGTTGGAATTTTCTATTAATGTGAGATTGATGTTCTTAATCCAGTGTTGACCACAATTATAAATTAAATTTACACTGAATTAATACGGTTCTAAACTGTTTTTCAGATATACCAGTATATTCAGAGTCGCTTTTACCGGTCTCCAGAGGTGCTATTGGGAATGCCTTATGATCTTGCTATCGACATGTGGTCCCTTGGGTGTATTTTGGTTGAAATGCACACTGGAGAACCTCTGTTTAGTGGTGCCAATGAGGTATATGATGTTTTGATTCTGTTTTCCTCCATAACTGCTTAATCTGAAGGTTTTTTTCAGGGGAAGATGTCTATTTACCAGATCAGACATTCATACATGCGAAGTCACTTTTGAACTTATTTTATATTCTCCATTTTTTTCATGTTTGTTAGTTGCTATATAATGGTGAATTTAGAATAATGAAATGGTAGTTAAGGTTTTAAAATTTGCTTATGAAGAGAACAATAAAGTAGAAAGTGTTAAATATATTGTATAACATTTACAGATAAGAATAAAAGAAAGCTTTATGATCACGAAGGAACAAGGGCCACCCTGGAAAGTGGCATAAACAGTGCTATGAACCTGGAGGCCATGATTTGGAATTGGAAAGAGTAATCCCTGTGTAGTTGACAGAGTTTGAATAGTTGAGCATAACCGGGAATTCCAGGGTCAGAGAGCTCTAGAGTCTGTGCAGGCCTGCAGCCTGTGGGTTTTAGTCTGTGTCCCTGAGAATGTGGGAGGTCAGAGGCAGTGGCAGTGACGCGGGGCTCCCCTGCCATAAAAGGCATTGAGCTTCCATTTGTTATACAACTCTCCAGTTGTGAAATTTTCTTTCTTTCTTTTTTTAAAGAGTAGTCATTGCTAGTCTTGACCAGAATAAAAGCCAGGCAGTTAATGGATTGTACAGTCGTTAATAGGTACTGTCAGAAACTTGCCCCATCTTTTCACGCATTTCAACTTGAGCTAGTGAGGCACTTGTTAGCAGCAGTATGTAGTATTTATTTCTTTTTATCTTACGAAAACTAAAACATTTTCATAACTAAATGATAAGAGAATGACAACAGTTACTGTTACTACTCTGTATATCGTTATCTTCAGAGTAGCTACTCAGTACAAGACATAAACCAAAAAACATTCTTATAAAAAGGAAACAACACAAACTTTATTTTCAATGAACTAAGGTACCGAGATAAACTTTTAGTATAAAAGAAACAAATTAGCATATATAAAAATATCTTTAAGGCAACAGAAGATGTCATTTGGGGATTTGAACTTCTCCCTATTTCCTATTTATCTCTCTTCTGATACTGAGCTTGTATTCTGACCTGACTTCACTTAAAGTTATGTCCTTAAGTTGCAACCATTTATCTATGAAGGCCTCAAGTTTATCTTTTTCTATACCTTAGTATTTGTAATACTAAGTACCCTGTGAATTAGTAACTCTTTTTCTTGGCCTTAAACAGTGTTGGGATCACCTGAAGCTTCACTGGCTCCCTGTCTTCCTCGTTGTCAGAGCCAGAGTCCTTTCAGTGGCTCCCACACCCCCGCTGTGTCTGGTGCAGGTTATCTCTGCAACCCCTCTTCTCTCCCTCCTGTCTTCCTCTCTGCTCCAGCACTTGGCCTTCTCTGTGCTACCTTGCACTTCTTCTTTCCTGTGTCTAAAGTGCTGTTTCCCCGATAGCACTCGGCTCATTCCTCCAAATCTCTGCTCCGTTGTCACCTGAGTGACAGCTCGTGTAACATCCTAGCTGAAGTGCAGCATCTTTGTCCCATCCCCTGTGGATTTTCTCCATATTACTTAGTCATGCTTTGGTGGAGTGTATTTAATTGTTTCGGGCCCTTCGTATCTGCAGATTCTGCATCCTCAGACGCAATCAAAATCTGCATCTGTATCTAATACTTCCAAGCTTTTTTGGGGGTCATGATTCTATAAACAATATAATGAATATTTCCAAAGCACATTTACATTGTATTGGGAATTAAAAATAACCTAGACATAATTTAAAATATATGGAAGAGGCTGGATGTGGTGGCGCTTGTAATCTCAGCACTTGAGGAACTGAGGCAGGAGGATTGCTGTGAGTTTGAGGCCAGCCTGGGCTACAAAGTGAATTTAAGGCAGCCTGAACTGCACAGTGAGACCCTGTCTCAAAAAGACCGGAGAACTATTGTGAAAACTATTTAGACTGTCAACTGCAATGTGTAGCAATGTTTATACCATTTTTCAGAGTAGTCCTCATTCCTTCATGATCATGTACAGATACTTTTATGGAAACGATTTGTGCACCCATAGATTTTGGCCATGGGAGGGTGAGCTGTGGAGGAGGGTGTTCTTGCCTGGAATTAATCCTCTGAAGGTATCGAAGGATGACTGTATTTGTTTATTATTAGTCTTGTCTCATTTTTTGACAGAGATGTAATAGACTATATTTGAGTGAGTCTACACTTAAAAGAACTTTATTAAGTCCTCTCTTAAGACTGAGAGTCTTACTCGTTATTTAAATCTCCAAAAACAAACTTAAAATTTCCTATATCCTTGATAGTGTCATCCATCGCATACAGGGTCACTAGCCATAGATTTGTGCATGTTAATTGCTGCATGTCTGGTCCCATGAGGCTCAGGAACTTTATGTCTTTTGGTCATGACTGTATTCTTAGTGCCTGGACAAGTATCTGACACATAGGATATGCTCAGTTATTTATGAATGAATTGAGGAGTAGAAATAGGATGCACAGTGGAAATTACAGGCTTTCTTTTTGTCTTTAATACAGGTAGATCAGATGAATAAAATAGTGGAAGTTCTGAGTATTCCACCTGCTCATATTCTTGACCAAGCACCAAAAGCAAGAAAGTTCTTTGAGAAGTTGCCAGATGGCACTTGGAACTTAAAGAAGACCAAAGATGGAAAACGGGTAAAATAAGGGGTACAGCTTTTAGTGGGTTGGCAGGCTACTCCGTTCCTTATTTCACCAGAGCAGTCATTTTATATCTTCTTTGTATTATACTTGAAATCAGTCTTACAGGGTACCTCAGTTCATGGACTTAATTTGTTCCATGATTCTGGAAAAGATGGCCATGTTTGTGTTTGGGGTGGTGCTGGAAATTTAACAAGTACCTGCCTGAAAAGTGCAAGGTCCTGAGTTTGATTCCTGATACCAAAATAATAATAATAATAATAATAATACTGCAACTTGAACAGAAGTCATAATTGCACTAAATGATTCTTTTAGGGCTCATTTTTGGTGAAATATTTGAAATGATGGTTTTGGAAGTGTGTGATTTTTCAAAGATACGAATCGACTAGAGGATCCTGTGATAGGTTTTAGTAATGTTTTTTCTATAAAAAGCTTTTCAGATACTTAAACTGTCAGTTTAATAAATGATAGGAAATATGTATTTACATTTTTAAAATATATATCTGGAAATTATCATGTCTTTTGCAACCTAGCATGTCCTAGTATTGTATGAATGTAATGTATAGATATATGATTGGATATGCTGTACATACACTTCACTGTGTGATGGTAGTCATACATTTCTAACATTTAAGAGAGGTAGTTTTTTGCTCTAGCTAACTGTTTTGCCCTTGCATTTTAGTGGTGCTGCCACCAGGTGTCATTTTCTGTGAACTGAAGAAAGTTGCTCACTTCAATTCGCTTCAACTTAGCCGTGGAGTCTTAACTTGTAATGTCAAGCTATTTTACAACGATTTCCTTAACAGCTGGTTTGCAGCTTCATTGCAGACAATGTAGTTTCCTCTTACTAGATTGTGTCTGCTCCCCATAGGGTAGGGATGGAAGATAGCAAGCCAGCATCTCGAGGCCCTCTTTTGTCTTTATCCACATGGATTATCAATTGTGGCCCATTGTTCTATTGAACCCAGATATTGACTGAGAATCTTTAGTTTCACCAGCATTCAATGTAGCATCTACCAGTTGGAATTAGAATGCAGGAGTTTAAACCTCCTTTATGTTTTCTCTGTGCAATGCAAACTGCTACTAGTTGATTTTTGATTTTTTTTCTCCTTGTCCCATTTCCCAAATTTCTGCTGTATAAAACCATAGTTACATAACTATGGTGTGTCACCTATCGTTTCTTTCAAATTGAGCTGTAGTTACTATGTTTAATTACTTGGAGAAGCATTTCAGGAATGAGTAGGGCAGTCTCCATTTTTAAAATTGAAAGTGACTATTTTAACCTACATTTAATATCTGTTAATTAACTCTAGATTTTTATGAACTCTTTCCCTAGTGGAACTTAGTAATTGACTTAAAAAAATTAAAGTATGATATAACTTTTTCTCTTTTAACAAAAATTACTTTTGAACAAAAATATCAATTCTATAATCAAATAATTGTATTAAGAAAAATATACTGAGGACTTTTTAAAATAAGATATAGATTATTTTTTTGGTACTGGGAATCGAACTCATGACCTTGCTCTTGCCAGGTAGGTACTGTGCCACTGAGCTATATCCCCAGCCCTAAGTTACAGATTATTATTGGCTGTCTTCCTGTAATTTGATTGATTTTTTTAAAAAAAATTTTTATTTTATATTTTGGAAGTCCCTCTTAGAGTTTCCATTAATGAGATACACATTTACTGTATTTTCTTCCTTTGATGGACAAAGAAGTAAGTTATACTAAATGATGCTATTTTTTTTTTTTTTTTTTTTTTTTTTTTTTTTTTTTTTTTTTTTCTCCGGTACCGGGAACCAAACTCACGACCTTGCGCTTGCCAGGCAGGCGCTTTGCCACTGAGCTAAATCCCCAGCCCCCTAAATGATGCTATTTTGTTGCAGTATAATTTATATACAGTAGGAGACATACATTTAAATATTGTTTGCATCCACCACCTAACACATAATGTAGAATATTTCCATCATCTTTAACCTTCTTATGTGACCTTTTTCTGTCATCTCACTTCTGATCTCTGTAGTCACAAGGTTAATGAATAAGCAAGCTTCATATAAATTAGAATCTTAAGTATTTACTATTTGTTTCTTTTGCTTAAAATTTTTTTTAGGGGGAATGACATTCTTTTTGTTGTATATCTCAGGGCTTACTTTCATTTTATTGCTTCATAGTATTTCATCAGATGACTGCCATAATTTATATTCAGTTGTCATTGAACATTTAGGTTGTTTCCAACATGAATAAGATACTGGGAACATACTTGTGTAAGTCTTTTGTACACATACATTTTCATTTCTCTGGTGACACTACTCACCTGGGCCACAGGGTATATGTATGTGTGTTTGCTTTCTTAAGAAAATACCAAGTAGTTCTACAAGGTTGTTTTTATTTTGTATTTCCTTCAAATTTTTAAAAAAATTCTATTGGTATATTTTAGATACACATAACAACACTCATCATAGGGAATTTATACTTGTACATGATACATCTTCTTTTTTTCCCATTCCCCTCCCCTCCCTTCAACTCTTCTTCCCCTCCTTATTTACAAAAGCTTTGTTTCCATTTCCACCTTCTATTCTAATTTTTTAATCATTTTATATTTGCATGATATGATGTAGTTGACACAGTTGGTCTTTTGGATTTTAGCCATTCTAGTGGGTATATACAATGGTTTGTTTCTGTACTTCTCCCTGACTAATGATACTGACCACAACCTTTTTAGATGTTTATTAGCCGTGCATATATCTTCTTTTGTGACATCTCTTCCTAGTCTTCTGCTCATTTGTTATTGGGTAGTAGTTCTTTACATGTACTGGATCTCAGTCCTTTGTCACATATATGTTGATATTTTTTCCCAGACCAGCTTGTTTATTCCTTTTCTGATTATAGTATCTTTTGAGGAGCAGGAAATTTTAGTATCTGTTAACTTTTTAAAAACTAGATCTGGAGAAATCTTTTGTGTTCCCAAGTTTGATGATACTGTTTTACATTTTTTTTTTTTTTTTTTTTGACTCTTAACTTTTGTGGCTAAGATTCTGTGGTCCACCTCAAATTACTTTTGAGCACAGAATAAGGTAAAGAGGTTAAAAGCATAGCATCTTTTGTTGAAAATAATTAACTTTGCTTATTGACCTGGTTTGGCACTTTTGTACAAAACAGTTTCACCTTGTGTGTTTCCAGAATGGACTATATTCTTTTCCATCTTTCTGCCCTTAAATACTATAGTGCAGACGAACTATAGTCTTTTGTTTTTAAAGTCCTAGCTCTTTTCTGTTTCAAGGTTATTTTAATATTTTAAATCTTTTATTTACATACAAATTTTAAAAATTAGTGCATACCTTTATATCAAGAAATTCTGCTAGAATTTTGACTAGAGTTTTATTGAGGTTCCATTCTGGTGGATGGGCACCCTAATATCAAGTCTTTCAGTCTGTAAATATGGGTTATTGCTCCACTTATTTAAATCTTTATTTTCTCTCGTAAGTGTTTTGTAGTTTGAGTATATGTATTTTGTTCAATTTATCCTTTTTAAAAATTTTTGGTGTATTTTAAATAGCCCTGATTTTGAAATACCTCCTACATTTTCATTGATGATTTATGAAAACATAATTGAATTTGTATATTGTCTTTGGGTTCTAAGACCTTGCTAGATTCACCTGTTGGGTCTAGCATTTGTCATTCTGTAGGGTTTTCTGCTTCAACAGTCATACCCTATGGATGAAGATAATTTTGTTCTTGTGTACTTGTTCCTTTCTCTGAGTTTACTGTGTGAATTAGGTCTGCGGTGTGTTGAGTAGCAGTGGTGAGCACATCCATCTTTCTTTGTTCCCAGTGTTGTGGGGCACACACGCAGTCATTCAGCGTGAAGTATGATGCTGTTTATACAGTTTTCTGTAGCTCAGTCCTTCATCAGATTTAAGGAGTTCTTTTCATGCCTGTACTTTGAGAAATTTTAATGAATGGACATTTAATCTTGCCACATGCCTTTTCTGCATTTACAGAGATGCACATATGATTTCTCTTCTGTTACATGATAAGATATGTAAGTTAATTTTTTTGGAATGTTACACCCCAATTCATGATGAACAATAATTGGCCTTGATGCACTAGTGTCATGTATTGCTGAGTTTAATTTGCTAGTCTGTTGGTAAGGAATTTTTATTTTTTTGCTTCAGGATTATGCTAGCCTCATAAACTCTTGGGAAGTCTTCCTTGAGTTTTCTGGAAGAAGTTGTGTAAGATTGGCATTATTTCTTTTGTAAATGTCTAATGGAGTTCATTCACAAAACCATCAGAACCTTACATTTTCTGTTAGACAATAACTGTAATTCATGTTTTTTTAAGATGGTTATCCAGATGTTCATTTTCTTTGAGTTAGTTTTGACAAGTTGTGTATATCAGGAAACTTCCTTCTCACCTAAATTGTTGAATTTATTAGCATAAAATTATCCATAATGTTTCAGTATCTTTTTACTTTCTAGAAGATCTGTAGTGACAGTCATTCTTTTATACCTGGTAGTCATCAGGGTGTAAAAGGCTGAGGCCCCAGCACCCTTTCCCAGTCTTGCTAGGGTTTTATCAAATTTTTAATTCTTGTCAGTCAGCATTTGACTTTGATTTCTTCTGCCTGATTTGTAGACTATTTTCTATTCTGTTGATATTCTTTTTTGTGTCCCTTTCTTTTACTTTGGGTTTGAATTTACTTTTTTTTTTTTTTTAGCTTCTTACAGTGGAAGCTTAGATTATTGATTTGCATCTTTCTTTTTTCTTGTCCAGCACTTATGTCATAGATTTCCCTCTAATCCCTGCTTTAGGTGCATTGTATAATCTTTGATATGTTTTAACTGTCATTCTTTCTGAAGTGTTTTTAGTTTCTCTTGTGATTTCTTCTTCAACCCATAACTGTTCAGAATTATGTCATAATTTCATGATATTTGAAGATTTTCTAGACACCATACTGATTCCTAGTTCAGTAGCACTGTGATCACAAAGCATTATTTCACCCCTTTCAAATTCTGTGAGACTTGTTTTATCGTCCAGTATGTGAGTCTGCCTTGGTGAATGTTTCATGTACCTATAATAAAAATTATATTTTGTATTTGTTTGCTGTATTCCATCAATACAAATATATAGGTCAAATCATTTTATGTTTTTTTTCATATCTGTTATACCCGCCGTCCGTGTGTGTTGTTGTGTGTGTGTTTTTTCTGTTAATAACTATAAAGAGTGTTAACCTTTGGGGATAAATTTGGATTTGTCTGTTCTCCCATTAGTTGCTTCATGATTTTTAGGGGGATGTATCTCCATGAAATATTAATGACTTCTGATAGATTTAAATGGAAAGATAGTTAAGTATAATATATCGTTGTAGGTACTCTCTTTTTTAAAAAATTTATTTTAAAAATAAAACTTGTAGGTACTCTCCCTTCCTTTCTACAGGTCTGGCTTCTGCTTGCTGTTATATTCCTTCAGCTTAAAGAACTTCCTTAACCTACTTTTCAGTGGATAACTTCTGACAAGTTCAACGGTCATTTATCTGGAGATACCTTTATTCAACTTCGTATTTTCTAGAAGACATTTTTTGTGGATGTAAAATTCTATATTAGCCGTTTTGTCTTTTGCAAAACAAAGAGAGGTTACGATGTCATTTTCTGGATGACATTGTGAGGAGAAGCTAGCGGTTACTCTTAGCATCGTTTTCCTCTCTGGCCTGGTTGATTGTAATGTTTTCTGTATATCTGGGTTTCAGCATTTTGATTGCCGTCCCCTTAGGCTGTGTGGTTTCCCTGTGTCCCTTAGTGTTTGTGGACTCGTGGCTGTGTGGGTCATCCCTTCCGTCAGTCTGTACGACCGCTCGCGGTTGCTTCTCAGGTCCTTGTGTTCGGCCGCCCTCTCCGCATTCTCCAGTTCCCTGCGTGCCGTTGGCGGTCTTAGGGTTATCCAGAGATGGTTTGCTTTGTTCATTCAGTTTGGTTTTGTGTTTTGAGTGTGGGTTATTTCTTTGATCTATTTTCTACTTCACTAATTTCCCCCTTTTTCCTGAGTCCAGTTTGTCCTTAAACTCAGTAAATGGCCTCTTTACTTCTGATACTTTTTAGTTCTAGCTTTTTGGTTTGTCCTTAATTAGAACATTTTGTTTCTTCTGAAATTCTCCAGCTAGTCACACATGTTGCCTACCTTGTGACCTGAATTTTTTAAACTGCCTATTAATCATTTTAAAATATTTACCAGTTTTAACATGAGTCACTTATTAATGTGGATCTTTCGTTAATTTTTTTAAAAACTTGATTATGGGCTCCTTTGTTCTATTTTTGCTGTCTATAATTTTTAATGTATGCCAAACTTTTTGTATTTAGGAATAGTTGAGATGGAGATAAATCATCTTTCCTCCCAGAAATAAGCATCCTCACACTGTTAGCTATTAGAGTTGGGCTGAGTCAGTCTCATTTGTACTTTAGCTGAATCTGGGCTTTGTCTGTTTGACCTAGATTCTGTTCACTACTCTCTGAGGATGTTCCTTTAAGCAGTGTGTGTGTCCCAGGCCCCAGGAGATGCCTGAGTGCTGTGACATTACCGGCTGGCCAGCCCCACACCTAACTCCTGGGCCCAGAGGGCTTTCTTCCCACAGCTGGGGTTCTCCCTGCCTCTGTCCGTGCCTGCTGGCTGCTCCACCATTGGTCTGAAAAAGGCTCATCTTTTTCTGGAATTCATTTAATACTGGCTCATTTGAACCCTCAGTTCTCTGATGAGTTTTGAAAAAGTGGTGATACTGTGACTTGTCTGGCTGTGTGGGAGCAGTCAACTCAGTTTCTGTATTGTAAATAGAAGCAAAAGCCCAGTGATGGTATGCTAATTAAATTCAATATTTGTAGGGATTTTAAGAGTTATACTATTGTCTGTTATAAATGAGTTTTCAGGAAATCTCTACATGTTAAAAGTAATTTATTAATAAACATTTTCTAAAGGGAGGCATAAATAATTTGCTTTCTAATTTTATCTCCTATGAATAGGAGGCTGGGTTCACACCCCTTTCTTCAGAGCACACTTGGAGTAAAGGTTGCAGCATTACAGAACCACATTTAGGGCGGCCGTGCAGCAGGTCTTCGGCACAGGAGTGGAATAGGGTGGTGCCAGCACCTGCTGAAGCAGGGGTTAGCCCACTTGCTCTCTAGGAGACCTGTAGGAAACGTTTGCAGCATTGCAGGCCTCTGCTGCATGTCCTTGTTTGTGTTTGCTTGTTTGCTTCTACGACCTCTAAAAAATAAAATAAAAATAAAATAAAATAAAAATCTAGCAGCCATACTTTGCTGACTCCTGGACTAGATCTTCATAAGTCATATTTGGTCTCAAACTTCTGTTGTTTTTGTAACCAGCAGTATTTGTAAAATAATACATGGGCCCTGAGGGAATAGCTCAGTGGTAGATTGCCTGCTTAACATGCACAAACCTCTGGGTTAAATTTCCAGCACCACCCCGAACAAAACAAACAAACAAACCTACTAAAATAGTAATACCTGAAAAGGTCGGAGATCTAACTACAAGTGTCCTTTCTGATAAAGGCCTCCACCATATTTAGGCATATTTGAAGTTACATTGTGTAAACTCTTAATATTTCATCAAATTTAAAAAGGCCATTGTTTTCTTTCCATATAGGAGTACAAACCACCAGGAACCCGTAAACTTCATAATATTCTTGGAGTGGAAACAGGAGGACCTGGTGGCCGGCGTGCTGGGGAGTCGGGTCATACAGTAGCTGACTACTTGAAGTTCAAAGACCTCATTTTAAGGATGCTTGATTATGACCCCAAATCTCGGATTCAACCTTATTATGCCCTGCAGCACAGTTTTTTCAAGAAAACAGCCGATGAAGGTACAAATACGAGTAACAGTGTCTCCACGAGCCCTGCGATGGAGCAGTCCCAGTCTTCGGGCACCACCTCCAGTACATCGTCCAGCTCAGGTCTGTGCCACAGCGTGGGGCTAGACCTAGCAGCTTCTTTACCAAGTGGGATTCTTCTGGACTGTTTATAAAATGTGTCAAGGAAGTGGGAAAGAATTATTTTACTTAAATCTGTCACTTTTGGTTAGCAGTAAATCCATCCTCCCCAAAACTCCACGCCACTTAAATTACGCATGTGTAGTTCAAAGTAGTATCTGTTCACATGCTTCAGTCTTTCTCTGACGTAACTCACTTTTGTTGTAAAGGTGATGGATGTGAGAGAACTTAATTTTAGAGTATTTACTGACTTTGTGATATACTTTAAGGTAATATTACAGGTTCTCTTTTTGGTGACATCCTTTTATTATGTAGTTTTTGAATATCAATTTGGACAGAGTTAGCCTTAAACTCCCAAGTTATACGGTGTTGCGCTGTTTTAGGTGGATCATCTGGGACGAGCAACAGTGGGAGGGCCAGGTCGGACCCGACACACCAGCATCGGCACAGCGGCGGGCACTTCACGGCCGCTGTCCAGGCCATGGACTGCGAGACACACAGTCCCCAGGTGAGCCACGTGGTGCTCATGGCACTTCCCTGCTTGGGTTTAGGATTGGGTGCCAGGGCTACCTTTGAGCGAGCATGTTGTTTATTCTGAAGGCTCACAGGTCCTCATTTCTGACAAAATACCACCTCTTTTAACCACAGAAGCATGTTCCATGTAAGGTCCCCTCCTTGTTTAGAAGTGCCTAACATTAAGTCGGGCATGGTGGCACATACCTCTAATCCCAGCTGTTCAGGAGGCTGAGGCAGAACAAAACAGAAAACAGGAAGGCTAGAAATCAAACCACACAGGGGCTGGGGATTTAGCTCAGCGGCACAGCGCCTGCCTGGCAAACACAGGGTTGTGAGTTCGATTCCCGGTACCAGGGGGCCGGGGGAATCAAACCGCAAACAGATTCAGAAACCACAGTGATGAGTACTAACAGCCTGTGGAGGCAGAATGGTGGAAGTCCGGGAGAAGCTGCTCAGACCTTAAGGTCTCAGTCTCCTCTGTAGCGGGGACGAGGACTGTGAAGCTCAGGTGCCACTGTGGTCAGTGAGTGTTTGAATGCAGTGGAGTGTTTGAAACAGTGGCTGCCACCCACTCACCAAATGGTAGCCCTTCTGTGTTCTGTTTTAGAGACAGAGTCTTACTATATTGCCCAGGGTGGCCTCACACTTGCCTGGATAACATAGTGAAACCCTGTCTCAGAAGAAACAAAAGAAAAGGCTCGCATTTATTGACTGCCTGTCCTGGTCTTGTAGTACTCACAGTCCTGAGCTTCTGAGATGGTTCAAGACTTGCTTCCCCCGCCGGCTCCCTCAGTTTTTTTGTTTGTTTGTTTTTGGTCTTTTTGAGACACCGTCTCGCTATGCAGTTCAGGCTGGCCTTGAGCTTCCTCTGTAGCCCAGGCTGGTCTCGAACTTGGAACGATTTTCCTGTCTCAGCCTCCTGAGTGCTGGGATCACAGGTGTGTGCCACTATGCCCGTCTCCCTCCACGTTTTTCGTGTTATTTTGCTTTTGGTTTTAGACCTGTTAAAAAGAGGCTCTATTTAAGTTATTTTTACATTAAGGTGAAGTGGGTGGTAGTTGTGAAGATGTTTGATACCTCTGTGTACTAACGTTGGGACATACCACATGCTGGTCTCTGAGAGGCGGTGGGCGTGACAAGGCAAGACCGGTGTGGGCGCCGCCTTCACCCGCACTCAGTGCTGTGGGAGAGCCCACCGTCAGCTGCTGCTTGCCACCTTCTGGGGCAGTCCGCCGCCGCTCCCACTTCGTCCCACTCTCTCATGCTTTCCCCAGTTGTTCCAGGCTCCTCTGCTCTTTGCAGAAGCCTTTGGCTTCTCCTCCTCTGCTGCCCCCGACTCCTGCTCTGTAAAGAGTCTTCCGCTGGGAACTTCCTTCAGTTATATCATAGAACAAGCTCATGGCCCGCCTGTGTCCACCCCTCGCACCCCTTGTCATTCGAGGAGTGCATTTCTTCTTGTTGGAGACCGAGGCGACCTGCTGTCCTTCCACAGCGTTGCTGTTAAACAGCATTTGTCCTCCTCAGTCCTGCCTTCCTCGGAGCAGGTCTTGCTCTGGCCTCTTGTCTTCCTCCCGCTGCACTCCTGCTGCCTGCTCTGGCCTGTCCGGGTGACTTCCTGCTCCCGGCTCCGCAGCCTGCGCCCGTGGTGCTCTTCACCAGCAGGTTGGGGACGTGCTTGCGCTTGTCTGCGTTTTTTGCTGGCCATATCGGACAGTGTTACTGAGCAGCGGCATTCTGTTTCCCGGGACAGCGCGCATGCCTGTGCCCTCACCCCCCGGCCGTGCTTGCTCGTGCTCTGCGCACTGTGAAGCCTGCGCGTGCCTCTCAGCGCCTCGGGGGCCACGCTTCCTAGGTGGTCTCACCCGTGCTTCCGGCGCTGCACCCACCCTCTCTATTGCAGGCCTCCCTGGCTCTTTCTGACTCAGACTTCACAGGTCAGCCCGTGGCCATTGTTTGGAATCGTGTACCGGACACAGCACCTCGCAAGTCTCCACCTGGCACTGCACGTGTGTCGCACAAACTGCTGTCCTCATTTCCACCTCCAGCCCAACTTCCCTCTGTTAGCAGTTCTTTGTAAAAGTGCCCTAAATGTACCTGTTGGGTCAGTCGTACACGTGGGCACGTGGGTGTTACGTTCACCCTCGGCTCCTCTCCCTCCCCTCCCACACTGACGTGGGCACCTAACCCTCGCCGCAGCCATCTCTAGGATGCCGCAGGAGGGGCGTCCTGCCTGCTCCCCGGGTCCCGTTCAGTTCCCAGCCAGTGCTGTGCTCTTCTCTGCAGCCACGTGAACGCGACTTTGAAACAGTCTCGTCTCGTGATTTCCCCTACTTGAAACCAGTGTTTGACGACCTCGAACCTTAAATGGAAGCTAGATTTCTCACCAAGGTGATACTGATTTCTGTGGTCTGGCTCTTCAGGCCCATCTTTATCTTCTGCCCATACTGATTCTTTAAAATACAAACCGTCACTGCCTTTCTCACACTGCTTAGGTTCTCACCCTGGAATACCTTTTCCTTCCACTTCTGCTTAGTAACTACTGTTGACACTTTGCCTCTTCAGCGTTATTACTTCCGGTGGACACGGTGGCACACTCCTGTAAGCCTAGCACTGTGGGAGGCTAAGATAGTTGGTTTACAAGTTCAAGCCCACCCTGGGCGACTTAGTGAGACTCTGTCTCAAAATAAAACATAGTTAAAACATCTGGGAAATGTAGCTCAGTGTGAAGGCCTTGGGTTCAGTTTCTAGTACCAAAAAATAAAAAGTTACTACTCTCAAGGGTATCCCAAATTGTTTAGGATATCCTGCCGTCTTCTCTTCTAGGTACATCAAATACTGTAAACATAACCAAAATAACATTCAACAACGGTGTCCTGTGTATCTCCTGCCTGTATTTCACAGATGTCACTATTCTGCTTTATATTTGGAGGTAGAGGTGGCTGGTTCTTGCTGTGTTTCAAACTTGTAAACCTCCTACTTCAGCCTTACAAGTAGCTTGGATTACAGGTGTGAGTGACTGATTTTTGAATAAAATAGTTAGCCCCCCTGGGTGAGAAGAGTCTTTTATCATACAGGTTGAGTTTCATCCAAAATGACTGAGACTGGAATTGTTTCACATTTCAAAGTTGTTCAAGTTGGGGAATATTTGTATAGACTTTACCAGTCAAGTATTTCCAATCTGGAAGTCTGGAATTTTGAAATGCTCCACTCAGAAAGTTTTCGATTAGGTGTGCTCAACCTGTACTATCTTTTTTGAGAATGCTGCTATTTTTTTTCTACTGGATTGTTTTCAGTAGTTAAGTTTGGTTCTCAGAATATCTTCATTGAATAGTAATGCCTGAGGATTTATGCCTGCCACTGATTGAGACAAAGCCTTTGCCTCCCCAGAATTTATAGTGACTTCAGGAAAATACACACAGCGCAACATGAAGAAGAATTACAAGTAGTACTAGTTAGAGAAAGAAAGTAAGGGCTGGAGTAGCTCAGAGGTGTTGCAGTTAACCAGCACCACAGGAGAAAAGGAAAATAGCAAAGGGTAGTGTCAGAGAGAACTACTAGTTTGTTGGATAGGTCGCATGAATTAAAGCAAGCCAAACTCTAGCAACTGATAAAGCCCCAAAATATGGTACAAAGTACTTTTTTCTGTTTTTTATGTAACAGCCCAGGGTGTATGTTCATGTTAATGGCGTGACTGTCATCTGTGTCCTAGTCTCTCACCATCTGTGGTTGCACCGTGCCCAAGAACCTGGTTGTTCATTGTGCGGTGTCATATATTCTGAAGGAGTTGGGCGGTATTGTGTTCGCCAGGCTGTGGGTGACATACAAATTCACTCTTGATAAGTGAACACATGGCTACACCTGTGAGGCGCTGGGAAGTATAACACAACCGTATAGATGCTCAGGAGTGAGCGGAGCCTGCTTTTTGTGGACAGCTAGTGGCCTTTGCTGCAGAGGGGCAGGACAGCATTAGCCAGAGTGCTTAGGGCAGACTCTGGAACTGAACTAGAGAGCAGGAGCATCCCAGCTCGAGCCTTGGAATAAGAGCATTCCAGGGCAAAAGGAATCACTGCCCTGAGGCATTTGACAGTTGTTGAGCAGGTGGAGGAATGGAGACCTGTGTGGTGGGAATCAAGGTGGCTGAGGAAGGAGGTTGGAGAAATGGGTATTGGCCACATTCTGCTGGCATTGTGTGGGGTTTGGATTATTTTGTTTTTCCGAATGCAGTGAGACGTCAGCAAGGATTTGCAACGGAAGCGATTGGGTTTATGTTGGAAAGGGTATTCCTACCACTCTTTGGAGCATGGGTTGGAGATGGGCGAGAATGGAAGCGGGGAGTTCATTTTGGGGGCCATGGAACCAGTGGGAGCCAGAGTGCTGCCAGTGCCCAGGCTGAGTGGTGGGGTGTTCGGGGGTTTGTTGTAAGGTAGACTCTGTACTGATGCTGACGGGGTGGAGGGAGTAAGGAACTGCAGAGCAGCTGGGTGGAAAGCAGTCTTTCATTGAAACAAGAAAGATGGGGAAAGGAGGGAAATGGAAAAATTTCCCTGGGACCTGCCAGACTACTATTTTGCCTTTCTAGGAAACAATTGACTAACCCTGGCTGGCATAGACAGTGCTCTCAAAGAAAGACAGTGGCTAGTGACAGTGGCTAGTGAAATACATGATCTGATGTATGTCACTTCCAGAACTTGGCCACTTTCATGGTAAAATATTTTTTACTCTGGAACATAATTTGAATTTTGTATTTTAGAACTGCCTAACACATTGAAAGTTTCATAATTAATGAAACTTTTCCATAATTAATACAGGTGCTTATGTTGTACCTTCTAATTGAGGATTAAAGCTCCCAGGCAGCACTCTGATGTTTTCCAAATGTTCTTACAGGTGCGTCAGCAGTTTCCAGCGCCTCTTGGCTGGTCAGGCACTGAAGCTCCTACACAAGTCACTGTTGAAAATCATCCCGTTCAAGAAACAACCTTCCATGTAGCCCCTCAGCAGAACGCGTTGCATCATCACCATGGAAACAGTTCCCATCACCACCACCACCATCACCACCACCACCACCACCATGGACAGCAAGCCTTGGGTAACCGGACCAGGCCAAGGGTCTACAACTCTCCAACAAACAGCTCCTCTACCCAGGATTCTATGGAGGTTGGCCACAGTCACCACTCCATGACATCTCTGTCTTCCTCAACAACTTCTTCCTCGACATCTTCCTCCTCCACTGGTAATCAAGGCAATCAGGCCTACCAGAACCGCCCAGTGGCTGCTAATACCTTGGACTTTGGACAGAATGGAGCTATGGACGTTAATTTGACCGTCTACTCCAATCCCCGCCAAGAGACTGGCATAGCTGGACATCCAACATACCAATTTTCCGCTAATACAGGTCCTGCACATTACATGACTGAAGGACATCTGACGATGAGGCAAGGGGCTGACCGAGAAGAGTCCCCTATGACAGGAGTTTGTGTGCAACAGAGTCCTGTAGCTAGCTCGTGACTACATTGAAACTTGAGTTTGTTTCTTGTGTGTTTTTATAGAAGTGGTGTTTTTTTCCAAAAACAAAGTGCAAAGCTGCTTGAATCAGAAGGAGATTAACACACTGAACCGCTACAAGAGGGCAAAGCTTTTTTTTTAACTTGAAAAGATTGCAAAGGGACAATGAAGTTTTTCAGAGCCATGTCCAAACTCATCTTCATGGATAGCTCAGAGGTATCCTCCTTTTGCCTCCCCCATTTAACTTGCCACCTCCCAGTCACAGTGGGCTTTCTGTCTTTCTAGTCAACAGAAGTTAATGTTCAGATGTTGGTCTTGGTCATTTGCCAACTAATTTTAAAAATAAAAAGGCACTGCACATAATTTGCATAAAGGGCCCCACGAGGGTGGTTTTTCTTTTTCTTTCTTTTTTTTTTTTTCTTTCTGCCTCCCCCCTTTTTTGTTTGATTGTTTTGTTTTGGGTGAGGGGGGGTTGGGTTTTTAAGTCCTCTAAACACACTTGGGCACGGAAATGCAGTACTGTAAGGAAGAGGGACCTCCAGCTTACACAAACATCATCTTCAGCTGTGTGAAAGGGACGATTGTGCTGGCGATGTAAGGCACACTGAGCATGCTAAGTGGCGGGGATCAGGACTCTCCTATCTGAACCTCCTGAGGAGCGAAGCAGCAATTACATGGGCGCCTGCGGGTCTCCTGTCGGAGAGGCTGCAGGAGGATAGGATGGAACGTGACTGGTCTCCTCACCAAGGTGCACTGAGAAGCAATCAACGGGTCGGTTGTGGCCAGTCCTGGGGAGGTCTGAGTGGTGGTCTTTGGGATAACCTTTGGCCTTATGGATTTGGACTCGAATTAGAAGAGCCTACCATTTCAGATGCAATCACTTGTGGACATGCTTTTGCAGACAGTCCTTAATGCTGAAAACACAGAGAATGGGTAATTCAAGAGGCCTTTCTTTTAAAATAGACTTTTGTGACCCACTAATTGTAAGGTATTGCAAGGTCACTTTGCGTGTGTCATAAAGTTGACTTCTTATTGGTTGAAGGTCACAGAAGTAGTGGTTTGCTTTGATGGAAATAGCTACAGCTGTGTCCCTTCCTGCTTTTTACTTTTTCTTTTGCTTTTTTCTCGGCACGTGGTATCTCCACCATTTCTTCTGCACAAAGATGTCTTCTGTTCATCCTGAACATTTTTAAAAAATGCAGAATTTTATGTGACTGCTTTTTTGCCTCACAATTATGCTGTGAATTTTACAAAAATTTATTTTCTTTTTTGATAATTTATTGTACCAAAGCTGTTTTTATAGCACATAGATGTCTGTAACCAATAATGTAGCAGTTCTGCACTTTGACACAAGGTGTAACTAGACCATTTTTAAATGTCAGTTGAAAATTATGGCTGTACTATTGCTTAAACAAAACTGGAACTGTTGTTGAATCCATAGCCAATACATTTACAGCAATCTGTGTACTGAACATAATAGATTGACATCTAATTCCAGATTACAACATCTGTCGCAGTCTCAGTGTGTTCAGGCTTCTGAAGGTAAAGGGACACTGGATCCAGAAGCTATGGAGCCAGCAGTTGACTCTTGTATTCCTGATTAACCTACTTGTAAACTTGAACGCAAGACCTTGATCCCTTGGTCACACCACCAGTTCCACAGTAGGAGCAGGAGTGAGCAGAGCTCTCAGCACGACCTGACGTGAACAGGCTGGAGTCTAGCAGGTGCCTCGTTTTGAGATTATGCTGCCTTAATGTAACACAGTCTGGCAGTTGCTAAATTTGTGTTCCCCTTTTAAATTGATCAATTTTAGGGTGTTATACTTTTGAGTGGTTGAATTGGGAGAATGAAGATAGCATAATTTACCTGTCCAGGATCAAAGAAGCCTAGAAAGGAAGCAGTAATCTACCTCTGCCGATAACCCTGTTCGAAACAACAGCAGGACACCACATTACTTCTCATGGGTCAACTCCATGTGGCTGGCTAGGTCAATTTTTCTGAACAAAAGCAGGTTTTTATATGTAACAGTGATGAAAGAAAGGCTTAAGACTATGTAAATGTGAGTGGAAACTTGGAAGTAATCCGTTTTTATAAACCACAAATTTTTTTTGTTGTTAATCAGGAGATCCATATTTATTTTCTAATTAAATGTCAAGCCTGTGGATGATTTTTTGAACTTGGTAGTTCATAAAGGTTTACAGTGAATAAAAGGGTATCATCTTGAATATAGCAATATCAAAAGGGATTCAGTAGTTACTGCTGTTTAGGGATATGGAACAGAAGGTTAAGACACTATATGAGTCAGGGCATTTTTTTCTGTGCTGGTTGCCACATCTTAGCAAGCACCAAAAAACTAAAGCAGTTTTTAAACCGATATTTACATAAAGAAAATCATAAAATCCAATGCTTCTGCATACTGTGTTATGTTACAGTCCAGTTTTGTGTGCTTTACTACACAGTTTGGTTACAGGGCTTCTGTGCATTGTAAACATAAACAGCATGGAAAAGGTTAAATACCTGTGTTCAGATTGTAAGATCTAGTCCGGACTTGCTGTGTATATTGTAACGTTAAATGAAAAAAGAAACCCCCTTTGTATTATAGTCATGCGGTCTTATGTATGATAAACAGTTGAATAATTTGTCCTCAGACTCTTTACTATGCTTTTTTAAAATTAATTTAAGAAAAATGTAAACATAGTAAAAACCTTCCTATGCAATTAACCTGGTCCAGGTTGGTAGGTATACCGAGTATAAATTTAGTCAAATGTATAAAAAGGAAAATATTGGAGTAACATCAATATAGGCTTCAAATCTCTCTGAAAGTAAAAATTGGAGGTTTAACAGATCACTTGATTTTTTAAAATTGATTCTTTACCTAAATAATTACTATATTCACACAATTTCTCTGTGCTAGTATTTTAGTTGGTAGTGTTTAGAGTGGTAGTGGGCTTTGACCTGCCTGGATGGAGTGGGGAGTACACACGGATCTACCCCTCCTTCCCTAGACCCTCGTATGTATCAGGGACTTTGGTGTACACATTCTAGCATTCGTGCCACAGTGAGTTGGGCTCTAACTGCAAGCCTTCTTGTTTTATAAAGTAACCTGCATAAGTATATATTAAGGTGGCTTTCAGCAGGTAAGGAACTTAAATAGTTGAATATTACTCTGTAAAATTCAGGTTGGTAAAGTTGAACTTAGCACATGTAACAATGGAAAACTTTCTAGTTTTTTTCTTAGGGTCTGAGAGTTAGTAAGTGGCATATTTTGTGAAATGGACTCAAAAAAAACACAAGACCTATTTTTATTTAATGATTCGAACTATATGTTTAAAAAAGTTCATTAAAAATGCATTAATTATTATAAGGCCCAAAAATCCTTGGCACTGTACTCCTTCCCAGCTTGTGTGTTGTTAAGCTTCTTGTCATGTTCTTTCAGGAAAATACAGAAATCACATGTGAAGCTGAGACGGCACTAAGTTCTAAGTTGGTTCCCTGATTTCCTTTTGGTTGGTCTACTTTTGTTGGCCCTCAGAGTCTAAGTACAGCGCTTATTCTTTATCTGTTGTAGTGGTGACCACATGCAGTGTCCCCAGTGGTTTATTCCAGAGCGTGACTTGGCCTTTAATGTCACACGTGAAGCAAGTTTGAAAATGTAAGATTATTAAGGGGACAAAAAGCCTTGCACCACTTGGCTGCACTGCAACTATGTTGATACACTGAGACTGTTTAGATTTCCAAAATCTACTTGAACTGCCTCCTGCCCAGAGGTTGGAAAGCTTTTAGTGTCGGAGTAGAGCAGGAGCTCTTTCTCATGATGGTGCTAGACTGACATCCTGTGATGAAAATAGTCATCAGGTAATTTTTTTTTTTTTAACATCAGGTAAGTTTTAGTCCAGAGAGCAAGAGAAGAGACCCTGGGAAACAAGTGTATGGTTCTTTCTGAAGTCCAGCAGTATTAAGGGTACCTGCAAGGAGCCATCCTGTGAGTCCAGCGGGCCGTCCCCTGCCCTGGAGACTTCACGCCGTGTTGAAAGTGTGAGGCTGCGGTTGTATGGAGCGCTTGTTCACTGCCACAAGTGGCTCAGTGCTTTTTGCGTTTGTCTTGTGTCTTCTGCGTTGTGTATCGCTGCTGCTCGCTGTACGAAGTGGTAAAGAACCAGGTGTCCCTGCATCGTAACTTTTTACAAAAAAGACACCCTAGCACTGAAAGCAAGGGATTTTCCACTTTCTTTTTTTTAACGTAGCCGTCCTCAGAGACAACAGCGTTCCCGCAGTGGAGCATTGTGCTTGCACACGTGCACGCAGGCTCCATACTCCCTCCCTCCGGTGCCTGTCTCTGTTCTCATCTTGACGTAAGCCCCCGTTACAGTTAGCAGGATGAAAGTCGCTGTGGGTCCGTTTGCTTTGGTTTCACATGGATTCCCAGCCATGCCCAGCTAGACGTGTGGGCGCTTCCGGTTTCCCGAGGAGTGCGGCACCTTCAGTTGGCTTCACAAGGTGCAGCGTGCTAGGGCAGGCATCACAATGGTGCATAAAGTGCATCTTTACCCCTGGGTTGCG